ATATTTACTATGTCATGATGTGATATAGGGTTTAGTTTAAAGTGTTTAAGATCCTCTGATTCAGGTTCACTGATTTCAGATTGAGAGTTTTCTTCTATCATGTTTATATTTCTAGATGTTTGAGGGGTTTCAGGTGCTACTTGTTGAGTAGTATCTGAATGTAATTCTAATTTACTGAGCTGTGCCTTTAATGTGCTGATGAATTCATTTTGACTAGATTTAGAAAGTTGGTATGGTTTAAAAATGTGAGATTTTATCTTTTCTTTACCTTTCACATTAGCATCTATAATTGGCTTTTCTTCTAACATGTTTTCTATTCTTTTTAATTGTGTATTTAAACAAATTAAACTTGCATTACTAAAATTATTTTTTTCAATTAATTTTTTATCTGTATCGTTTTCCCTAGCTATTTTATATGGAGCACAAACAATTTCATTATCTTGATATTTTAATTTACTAATTGTTTTAGGTGGAAAATCACTTTGAATTGTTCTATCATTTACAATCCATTCTGGTTATCATTTACAATCCATTCTGGTCTTTTATTTCTCACTCTAATTGGATTTAAACTTTTAGTGGAACCATTTTCTTTAATTAATTCAAACCAATCAAAGAATTTGATTTCAGTTTGAGTATTGAGTTTATAATCTAAGTATTCAAATTTTAAATCTTCAAAGGTATGAGTTTTTAATATCCTATTTAATTTCATTAAATTTTTAGTTTTTGTTATTTCTTTTATTAGTCCTTTCTCAATGTCTTCTTTGCTAAGTACATTTAGTTCTCTATCAACTTTAGGTATTTCCCATTCATCAATTGCTTTACTAAAATCTTGTAAAATTAATTCATTTCTATTAATTACTTTCTTTATTTCTGAAGATTCAGAATCATCCGATTTAACACTACTAACCGATCTACACAATAAAGGATCCATTTTAGAATCTCAACAAGTCGCGGCCACTGCCTGGTTATACCCTTTTTCAGCCCAACACTTGGCTATTCACGGGTTCAGTAGGCATACCCAAAACTATCTATGAGCAGTCCAAATGAATTCTTTATAGTATAGTTGTTAATAGTTGTGAAAAGGGATGGCTCTGATACCAACAAAACTTTTAAGGATCGATTAACAAACAACAAATTATAATTATTTTTACCAGTATGTTGATTCTGAAGTAAATGCTATGATGAAACGAGATATAATTAATTTAGAATAATACAAACAATATTTCTGATGTGGAAGATCAGTGTGGAAGATCAGACTAAGCCGCATCCACAGAAGCATACTTAAAACAACCATACAAACACAATAAACAATTTTAAAATGGTTTAGGGTTCCTGCAACCTTAACCTGGGATCCCCAGAATTAAGTCAGAGTGTAGAGGGAGAAGAGAAAGGTGCCGTCAACACGGACTTAAGATGTGGCAATTTAAAATAAAACACAAACTTTTTATTTAATTACAGAATATAAATACAATATTTAAATATGAAATATAATATTTAAAACTTACAAAGATTTTATAATTTAGACTTTCTTCAACCTTGAATGCTTACAATGAACTGAGAGAGAGATGGATTCTAGAAAGAGAGAGGGAGAGATAATTATGCGCTTAAGGTTACCTAAGTTATGCCTTCACAAGGGGAGAGGCTAGGGGAGAGGCTCCCTTTTATAGAAAATTTAGAATCTTTACTGTTTGCCTTTTACTGTTGCTGAACAATGCTTTATCTGCCACCGAATCTTTACTGTTTGCCTTTTACTGTTGATGAACAGTGCTAGGTCTGCCACCGAATCTTTACTGTTTAGCACTTTTACTGTGGATGAACAGTGGTTGGTCTGCCACCGAATCTTGACCTTTACTGTTGAAATAGTGACTTGGCTTCTACTGTGCAAATAGTAGCTTGGCCTTTACTACTGTTGAAATAAATGACTTGGCTTTCTACTGTGGCAAATATAGCTTGCTTACTGGTATCGTGACAAATAATGGGTTGAAGGAATAAGGTTCCTTTCTGCCGTTTACAATGAAATTCAGAACCAAGATGAGGACGAAATGATGTGTCCTTTTTCTTTTCTTTTCTTTTGATTTGTGCTTTTTCTTTTGCCTTTTTTGCTTATTTTTTCTTTTCTTGCACTGGCTTTTTTATCCCTTTCTTTGATTTCATTGGTAGAACAGAAGTATCTTCTTCATCAGTGTCTTTAAAAGAAGATAAAGGAGACTGTGGAAGAGCGATGATGATGACAAAACGACTGTTAGTTTTCCCTTATGGAACTTCTTTTAGATGAGGGAGTGACCAGATGATACATATTTATTTGGGCTTACTGGAGGATTGGTTTATTAGGCTTTCTGAACTGGTAGAAAGTTGTTAAAACATTTCTTGACAGATCAGTTTATATTCTTCGGGTGTTTTAGCTGCAGCTAACCGGGCTTGACACTGGGCCTTCTGAATCCCAAAGTTAGGGTTATCCTGAATGGCTAATGTACTGGCATAGGTTAAAGCTGGAGTAGATGGGCTGGCTAATTTAGTGCGAATCCATTGATGGATCTTTAATTCAGTAGTGGTGTTCTTGAAAGATCCCCACCATTTTATCTTGTATCTTTTTACTAACATAGGAATTTGGGTTCCTGGGACATACTGATAATCGAAATACCACTGGTATACCCAAGGGGTGAAGAAGGTCATACAGTAATACATCAAAAGAATTATTTTCTTTTGTGTCGTTCTTACTTTGCTTAAATCGCCCGGAATTTTGATAGAAATTAGACTAAATTTTAATTAACAACATAATTAATAAGTTTATTTAGATTAGTTCTATAATTTGGTACATAATAAATATAGTGCTACTGATTATTTATTATCTTTAGTATTCATTTAATTATGTACATATTTATTTATTTATTTATTTATTTGCATTGATTTTGGATGTATTTGGTGTAGTACGTTGAGAGAATTGTTTGAATAATTGTGCTGTGCATATATTGTGTTTTGTTTGTGTGGAATTGGGATGAAGTGGGTCACCATGGGACTGTGAGACCGTACAGTTATATGGATCCAATATGATTACCGTTAGCCGGGTAAATGGGAGATCGGCGCCCCCGTGTGCACCTACCGTTACCGTTACCGTTAACCACGGGTTGGCAGGTTGGCTTCTCGTCGCTGCGCACCGGACAGTCTAGATTTGATCACAGCCCGCAGGGTGGCCTCCTGTTGTGAGCGCCTGATGATCTAGATTGGATGAAGACCACCGGGTTGCCTCCTGTTGGTATGAAAAAGAAAAGAGAGAATGGAAAAACAATAAGAGGGCTGGTCAAGTGAAGTCGAGGATTTAGACCGCGTCGGCCAGTATTGGGGATCGGCTTCCTGTGCACATGTGAGAGGATGGAGCCATGTGGAGGACGCTCAATCGGGGTTTCGGTTGACTCCACTGACTTAATTTCCACGTGATTGATATTTTGAAGGTGATTAATGATTGTGGGGTGCTGATGTTTTATGCCATTATGCATTGATTGTTGTGTTGATCATTCAGTATATTTAGGGCACATCGCGTGACTGTATGTGTGTGTTATTATCTAAATTTATATTTCACTGAGTTACCAACTCAAATCCCCTTCTCTCCAAACTTTCTCAGGTAGTATGAAGTTGCTGATTCAACGGAAGCTCTGCAATCTCTCCGCAGAGTTATAATGAAACTTTATATTTCTTGTTATTTTAATTCAGATGTATAAATTATCTATTATCAGAATATTATTGAACTCCGCAGTTTATAGGGTTGTGCATTTTAAATTGGGCTTGTCGTTATGCGTTACTTTTTATTTACTTTTTATAAATGGTATGGAATGTATGAGTTGAGTAATTAGGCTTACTACCGGCCTCGGGAGCCTTATGCTTACCTGGGCCCTAGTGCCGGTCCGGCCTACGGAGTCGGATCGTGACACTTTACCACCAAGCTACTTAATATATTTGAATAAAAAAAATACACATAATATATATATATATATATCTTATAGTTATTTATATTTGTAAAAATGAATATTTGATGGTAATATAATTTTATTCATAAGTAAATTTAACAAAATTACATAAATTGAATTATAGTATCTTAATAATTCGAATATAGTTTTTTAACATAAAATATATTAAACAAAATTATATATGTAGTATTTTTGTCTTAGTAATTTAGTTAAACTTTTGTAGTTTAGTAATTGTGAAATTTAATAAAAATTAAAAAGAGTTATTAATCGAATAGAATGTTAATAGTGTTAAAATTAAAAATTTTAAAAACTACTTACAAACATTACTAGTGAACTTCTAATGATAATTATAATTAAATCTTAATATGACTGGTGTGAAAGATGAAATCTAGATATAATTATACTAATTTAGAATATGACTCGTATAAAATATAATTAGTGAACTTATAAATATAATTATAATTAGATCTTAATTAAACGTCCTTTTATTTTTTTTATTAGTGTCATCATATATATTAGTATAATTATACTTACAAGTCTAGTGTATAAAGATTAAGGATTACAATAACTATAATTAATTATAACCTACTAAACATATTCTGTAATAAAAAATTATTAAACTTAATACTTTATCTTGTGTTATTATTATTATAATTACTATAATATTGAAATATAATTATAGCTTTTAATTAATAATAATAATAATAATATAATTATAGCTTTTAATTAATAATAATAATATAAGAGTAGTAATTAATAATAATAATTATTTATATTATCAAACTATGTAGTTTGCGTAGAGGTTTTTAAATAAATCCACAAACAAAAAACTACGTCGTTTTTAGCTTAATTTTAATGATATAACAACACAAAAGTCTTCTCACTATAATTATAGCTTTTAATTAATAATAATAATAATAAGAGTAATAATAATAATAATTATTATTTTATTATCAAACTATGTAGTTTGCTGTAGGAGGTTTAAATAAATCCACAAACAAAACTACGTCGTTTTAGCTTAATTTTAATGATATAACCAACACAAAAGTCTTCTCAACCCAACATATTCTCCTTCCCGTTGCTTCCGTGCGTGGCCGTCGCCTCCGCAGCAGTCCTGCTCTTCAAACGTAATACCAGTGCCAGGTCCTCCATTTGCATCCTTGATTTTTTATTTCTTTTCTCCATTTATTTTTTTTTCGTTCTCCTTCGTCCCTTTTCCTTCTTCTTTTTTTGGTTTTATTTTTATTGTATAAATACATATAAACAGACAAAGAGGACTTGTTGAATATATTGTTCAATTAATTTGTGGGTTTAGCCGGGAGATTTATGTTTATTGTTTTATTTTTTTCATTTGTGGATCTTGTGCATGTTTTATTTGTTATTCTCCATATAAAATGGTTTACTTTTTAGATGAATTTATTATACTTATATGCTAGATGAAACAGAAGCTCTATTTGTTGAATTTATCTTCACTTTCTCTCTCACATATTGTAAAAATCTATATCTTGGAGTGTGATTAGGTATTTTCAGGTTCAAAGCTTCTTGTTAAGTTGGATGAAGCTAACTATTTTCTTGGAAAATGTATATATTTAGATGATTGGGAATGTGATTAGGAATTTATCTTTACTGTTGCTTTTTATTCTTTATTTGTATTTTTTAAAATCAGGAAAAAATGTGCTGTAGCTAATTATAATTTTCTCTTTAGTCTTTTATTAAATTTTCTAGTTGAATGTATTATTTATTTAATTTGAATTATAATTCTTTTATTCTATTTTAACATTACTGGTACTGTTGTTCTAGAATATTACAGGTTGAATTGTTTTATTATTTCAGATTGAATTTTAAAGTATTTTTTATATTTTTTTTTGTTGCATTTTCGGGTTCAGATTCTGGTTTGGGTAGTATGCGGGTAATTCTAAACAGATTTTGGGATGGATTTGGGTATAGATAGTTTATTCTTAACGAATTTGGGGCGGATTTGGGCACTTGAATTGATAATTGGGTTCGGATTCAGGTAGTTGATTTCTAGCGGGTACCTGTCCCGCTGCCATCCCTACTCTGCCCCCACTCGCCCACTCCTCTTCTCTCCTTTTGTCTTCGTTAGTCCATTCGCAGTCTTGTTCTTCTACATGTTGCCATGGCCTCCGCAGTAGTTGCCTTCCCCGCTGAACCTCGAGCAGCGCTCTACGCTGAACTTTGATTGTCTTCCTCCATTGGCAGTCCTGCTCTTCCCTAATTAAACTCACTAATCTCAAATCTCTTCACAGCTGAAATCACTCTCTTATTATGTGTACTCTCTCCTGAGTCCTGCCCTCCATGTTTCAGCAAATTTTCAGTTTCATATGGTAATTGACGGTTTCATATTTAGAAGCTGTTGCTTGCTTAGCCTGTTTATAAAAGAGCGGTGACCCAGTGCATTAAAGCATCCCATCTTAGTCTATATATTTTTATAATATGGAGTATTTTTTCCACTAATATTTTGGCTTGTTATTGATTCTATTTTTCTTCCTTTTGGGTGCTAGTTGGTTATTGATGGCTGCTAGTTCTAGAACTGAATCTAATAGTGGTGCTTCAAGCTCAAAAGAAGTTGAGCCAGCGACGCCCCAGATTCAACCTTTCAGCATGCCTACTATGGAAGAGATTCGTGCCCAAGAAATATGGGACAATTGTGCTGTTCGTAGTGTTACAAGTGGAGTAATGGGTGAGATTATGGTACTCTCCTTTGTACTTGTTTCTTTTAATTAAAATTTTTCCCATTTCTAGTTGCACTGGAATTAATTTAAGAAACAGATTGCTGTATTTTTTTATGTGATATAATTGTTGGAATCTATGAGGTGATGAAGTTGAAGATCAAAACTTCATTTCCCCATTGAGGTGAATAATATTTTAATTTTTATATGCTGTGGATAAATGATTGACCTGATTCAATTCACTCAAATGGTCTTAGGTGGTGAGAGGTTGTTATCTATGTATTACTATCTTTAACAAATTTTTGTTGCAACATAAACTTCAGTTTGCATTTTAAATAATAGATTGTAATATTCTTTAACTACCATGTAAACAAATAATTATTCTTTCGGGTATTCTTACTTTTAGGTTTGGGGTTAGACACATACAGAAAAAAGTGCAGGTTATTAGGGGGTGTTTGTGAGAGAATTACTAGATAAATAATTTTCATATTTCAGTTAGAGAAAAATTTGATTATATTTGCTTTCATGTTCTCTGATATTTATGTATGAAAAATTGTTGTCCTCAACATCCCTGCATTTGCTTCTTCATTGGTTGTTCAGCAAATATATGAGCCCTTTTCTTTATTCTCTTTTATCCCTTTATTTTTTCCCTTCTACATTGCCTGTGTAATTTAATTTTGTGTTAAAAAATGTTTCTAGGAGGTGGGATTGGGATGTTCTTCGGTCTTTTTCTTGGTTCATTTGATAATCCATTAATGCAAGGAGAAATGAGTGGAAGGCAGCAATTCATTTATACTGCAAAGCAAATGGGGAGAAGAGGCTGGAGTTCTTGCAAAGCATTCGCAGTTATGGGATTGATTTTCTCTGCTGCAGAGTGCATAGTTGAAAAGGTATCATTGGGAGTATGTGAATGGAAAATTATGGTTGTGTAATTTTCGATTTTGAATCAGTGGTATAGCAACTGAGTTATATTGTTTGTTTGAAGGCACGGGCAAAACACGATATTACAAATACAGCTGTGGCTGGTTGTGTAACTGGAGGTTCAATGTCAGCGAAAGGTAACTTTTCCTTTGTTTCCAACTTTCCATTCAGTTATATCCATGAAAAGCATTCAGTTTGAAGTAGTAGTCAGATATTGCTGCTCAACAGAATGCTCCAAAGGAAAAAAGCAAATAAATATTTGAGGAAGTCAATTTTACAACTTTAAAACTTGATGTACTTTTTCTTCCTTTTACATATGTTTTTGCTCCTAATACAAAGGTTTAATTAGCTTGTAGCGAGCTCCACTTTTAGTTTGGAGTTCAAGTCCCTTAAGGATTAGGATTACTTTGTGTCTAGGAGTTCTTGTTACTTGAGATGCTTTATTATCAGTTTTTCAATCAATAAATTTCTAGCAATTATGCTTCTTGGGATTTTGTATGCTGCTTATGGGGCCTTGGATTTGCTGTATAAGGATATTTAGGTGGGAAGCCCAACCCTTGATCTCTATTTGTGGTACTATTCATAGACACAGTGCCTTACCTAAATTATTGAAAAACATTTCCTGTAACTTATTTTCTTGTTCTGTTTGCTTCCTAGTTAATAGTGGTTCCTAATTCTGGTACTCTGCCTAAGTTTCAGGTAGTTAAACCTTTCGAACCAACCCAAAAAATTGGGTAGAAAGTATCTGAAAGCTGCGTAGCACCAGAAATGGAGTTCTCTTTCAAGTTCCAGCAGTTATTTCTCTTAGAGCTCAGTTATAGAGCAACACATGGTCATGGATTCCACCTTAGGTAACGTAGGACGGGGTTGGATGAAATTTGGTAAATCAGATTAGAAAAGTAAGTGTGATTGTTCGCAGGAAATTTAGAAATAACATAACTTGAGGTTTAGAGACATGCAAATAGATGAAATCATGCTCCTGTCTTAATCAAAAACTGAAAATTTGAGACTGAAATTGATCCCTCTAAAAGGAGACTTCGATGTAGTTTGTAGGATTTAGTGTGGAATTTGAGAGAATCAGAAAAAGATGTCAAGTATGAATACAGATGACAATACAGTTTCTAGGATTTAGTACGGAAGTAGAAAGAATCAGAAAAAGATATAAAGTACAAAAAACCGATCACGACCATGGTGTGATCATGCTTGGCTTCTCCCCATAACTTGCCTTGCTTGGTTCACTTAAAGCACTAAATCTAAAGTTCTAAACCCCATACTGCTACCTAACCCCACTAAATATACTTGCTAGAGCAGTAAGATTACAACAGAGAACATAAAAACTAAAATTCCCCCATATGCAAACTAATTAACAGTATCTCAACAAGAATCTCACCATTCCAACAGTTTAAGTAGGTATTTATAAAGATTAATTTATTCTACCCCTAGGGATTAGGAAACCCAGATTAGGAAAATTGAACTAACATTAAATAGGATGAAAAGAAAATATCTTTACATAATGTTTGCTTTAGATGCATACCGCAAAAATTTGTGGAATTCAATTGAATTCCATGTTTTGCTTGTTTTTTTTTTATTTTTTTATTTAAATTTTTAATTTAAGATAGTTTTGGAATTCAATTGAATTTCTAAATGTTATTATTGAGGATAGTTTTGGAAGTGAGGACAAAATGAAATCCAATTTTGAAATTACACCAAACATCTATTATGTGGAACTCAATTGCATTCTATAGTTTGAGTTGTATCAAACCAAACATATGAATTCATTTCTAATGAATTCTAAATAGAATTCATTTCAAATGAACTCTGCAACTCTAATTATATTAAAATAATCCTGGTTATAATAAAATCCTTAGGTGTTAAAGCCCTAAACTTCCTATTGAGAACTGATAGAAAATTGAAAATAATTCCCAAGTGTAGTTTTGCTTGCCTGCTTCTTTCTTCCCACTTGGAGAAAACTCAAACCCATTTTGTAGAGCTCTATGTTCTTTAATAGAATTTCCAAAGTGGAACTATGAACTTCATTCTTTCCTTTGCAGCAACCTTATCAGTACATACAAAATCAACCATAACTTGCGATGTTTAAGCACTCTTGGATCTACCAGGAGTAAGAAAATGAGCTGTTTTGCAATCTCTATTTTCTTCTCCATGGTCTCTTCATTAGCTTGCCTTTTCTCACTCTGGTGTAAATTTGCTGTTAGTCTAACTTGCTGCGTTTGTACCTCTACCTCCACCTTAACCTTGAAGTTGTGGAACTGCAATTTGAAGGCTTTACTCTTCAATAGTGGCTGATTCAACATATTGGCCATCAAAGACAGCTGTAGATAATTTGCCTAAGTTTGCTCTCATATCCTTGAAAGTAGTCTCCATTTGTTTGCATTTTATCCTTAAACACTTTGATTCCAGTCCTCGTAGATGGTAGTCTCATGGTTTGTGAAAGAATCTTCAATCTTGAATTGAATGTATCACCTTTGGAACTCAGCTCTGTATTCGTCACTGTCCTAACTGGGATTGATAAAGAAGGATTTCAAGTAAAAGGAAAGTGCTTGTTTGGCTTTGGTACCAAACTGATGTAGACAGAATTAGATCAGGAAAAAGAGGAGAAAGTTGAAATATGGGAAATCAGATTAGATAAATAAGTGTGATTGTGTGCAGGAAATTGATATAGCATAGATATTGAGGTCTAGAGAAATGTGAACAGTACCACAGGTAATGTAGCAGCTAAAGAAAGGAGAGATTAAATCCAGAAGTCAAGAAAAAAAGGGTCCGCTATGTTATAAAGATTAAATCAATACTACTGCTAATATTAGGAAATCCCAAATTTAGAAAATTAAGCCAACAGTAACTAAGACAGAAAGAAAACAACTTGCAATTTCCTTATGACAATTTAAACCCTAGTGTTCCTTGGCTGCGTCACTAGTTTTTTCAAATAAAATGAGTACAGATTTTCTTTCTCTTGTGGTTTTGTGTGTGGAGGTTTATCCACTCTATTAATACTTTCACCACTTAGATATGCACAGATACTTAGTAAATTCAAAGATAAATTAAGCTATGAGATTAATTAACGAAAAATATTTCAAGGAATAATTAAAAAGAAATTCTTTATTAAAGGTATGTATGTTCTTTCTGAAATATGCACCTTCAATAGACTAGGATGCAAAGATCACTAGACTGTAGCAGAGCTTTATAGGTCAAGAAACTAGAGAAGCTTATTCTTAAATAGCAAAAAAGATAAATCTTTTTGTCCATAGTGACATTATTAGTATCACTATTGTCACCACCTGCATCTTGTCATCCGTCTTGTGTTAGGCATGAGTTATCTCACACTATTTTACTATTCCACATAAAGCATGAAATTAAACTCTTTTTTTTTTAATTATTTATAAAAGAACTTGTGGCTTGATTGAATTTAGAAAAATGTCAGTTGTTGGATTATGGGACTGATTTAGATGCTTTTTTTTAAAGTTCAAGAAATCTCCTTTAATTGTATATGAAATATGGTCTTATCAGTCCTCAGCTGTGTTGTCCTCTCTAATGTGTGTAGAAGTTGAGGAAAAAAGAATCAAATATACTAGCATGATACTTGCTTATGTTTATCTTATTCATCGTCTCTATTCATTTCACTTTAATCCCATATATCTACCGTTCTTTCCAGCTGGTCCAAAAGCGGCATGCGCTGGTTGTGCTGGGTTTGCGGCATTCTCGGTTTTGATAGAGAAGTTCCTAGAAAGGCATACTTGACACATATCCTGCTCTAGGTTTGGAGGTGCTTGTTGATTCCGGTTTGGATAATGAGTTAGGTTGGCAATCGCATTTTACAATTTTAAGCATCGAACTTCCATTTTTGGCTCAATTCAAAATTTTTCTTCAGTAGTGAAAGGGGAATACCATTGAAATTATAGTACTATTTATATTTCTTCAATTTTCTGTTTGTTAGTACTTAGTAACAGTCTTTTCAAGTTTTCATACTGATGATTCCCCTGTGGGTTCATCTACAAATTTTACTTTGAGAAAGTGACATCAATTGTGCCTGTGGATATTTTATTCTTGTTGAAAGATCTTTCAGGAATTAGAATTCAAGTGTGAAGTGTAAACCATTTCTGGAGGTCATAAAGAAAAGAAAGTCTGCATCGGAAGCTGAAGCTTTGATGCAAGTTAAAACAGTAAAAAGAAAAGGGAAAAATAAATGAACAAGCTGATATCATTTTGCTTTCTGTACGTCTTTAAGACCAGGATGACAGCGGACAGATATATTCACTATATTTCTTGTATTTGGCATGTGACCATAATTTGTTGCCAGAAATGAATGAGAGTATCCAGATTTAAAATTGTCCCAACTCTTAGGGATAATTTTAAATTTAGTGTTGGAACTTATTTTATTTTTTATGAATAAAGTGTTTAAATTAATAATTTTTTAAGATTGAGTTCATTTTGCAGAATAGGAATATAAAAATGAATTATTTTACCTTACCATTTCGTTTCATTCATTTTCTAATTTCTTGTTTTCCTCTTTATTTTATTTTTCTTAATTTTATTGATTTCAATTTAGAATATTGAAGAAATGTATGAGAATTATTTTATATTTTTCTGAAGCAGATATATAAGAACATAAAAAATGGAAAAAAAAGGGAAATGAAATTAATGTTCATGTATGATAATGTATGATACTATCCTTGAGAGATGAGATGAGATAATAGAGATCCTTTCTTCTTTGATTGAATTCGAACTCTGGGTATGGAGTTCTTTTAAACTCTCAGGAGGGCCTGACACGAATCCGGATATGTATGATACTATTTATTGAGTAAAAGATTCTATTTCTGAGAGAATTTTACAAATAATTAAAGTTGAATTGAAAAATAAAATAAAAGAAAATTCCATATGCCCAATTTGTAATTATCCCAAACTCTTATTATTTCCATGTTAATATTTGGTTGCCTATCGCCTGATTTTGCAATAGCTTCCTGCGATTACAAAAGGAGTAAGATGATTGGGTCTATTAGGAAGACCATCATTGATGCGTTGCTAAGATTGTTTTTGCACTGATCTTTGAAAATTTTGATGATGGGAGCTTTTCTCACATAAGTTCTCTCATGGAGGTTGGAAATGATCCCATATTCTAGTGGCAAGCGGTGATGCTTCGAGACCTTTGTACTAATTATTGCCCAATAGTTATATGGTAACTGATGGCAAAAAAAAAAAAAAAAACTCTTGAAGGATGGATTGGGATCTATTAGGGAAGACCATCATTGATTGCGTGTGCTAGATTGTTTTTTGCATGATCTTTGAAAATTTTGATGATGGGAGCTTTTCTCACATAAGTTCTCTCATGGAGGTTGGAAATGATCCCATTATTTCTAGTGCAAGCGGTTTTGATGCTTCCCGAGACCTTTGTACCTAATATTTTGCCCAATAGTTTATATGGTAACTGATTTGGCAAAAAAAAAAAAAAAAAAACTCTTGAAAAAAAAAAAAAAAAACTCTTGAAGGTAGTGGTGAGCAATATTCAGAAAAAAAGAATGAAAACTAAACTGAACCAAGTTTATTCGGTTTGGGTAACCTGACACTTCAAAAATTTCGGTTTTATTAGAGAAAATAAGATTTCTTAGGCTGCCTTTGATTTTTATTTAATCCAAAAATAAATAAACTTAAATACACTCAAAATAGTAAAATCAAATAGAAATTGATTCAATTTCTGTTCGATCTTATATACCATTTTATGCGTTAGGCCAATAATATGTACAAGCAAATCTACATATTTATATAAAGCTTAAACAAATTAAAAATTATAATCAAATTATACAAATAGTAATTACGGTTTCTCTCTTATTTTTTCTCTCTGGTTTATCTAACCTTAGCTTTTATTTAAGTCTACCATTGTTAATCAGCGGTAGCCCCCTGCTTTTCTTTTTTCTTCTCGCTCTTAATGTTTTATTCGTTTTTAATAAACTCAGATCTTTTTTTTTTTTTTTTTTATTAGATTTGTTTTTCTTTGTTTTTTTTTTTTTTTTTTTTTATAGATTTGTTTTTTCTTTGTTTTTTTTTGTTATTATTGCTTTATCTCTATATTTAGAGTTCTTTTGTCCCTATTTCATGAGGGTTTAGTTCTTTCTTTGTGAATGTTTGTTCTTAAAAAAATATGATATTATATTTCATTTGGTTGGAGAATTTAGATCTTGTTTTACTGATATCTATCTTTGACCAATGAAGCATGGTAGTACGGCTTGTTCCTCCATTGATGCTATTAACGCATAGTAGTTTGAACTCATCTGTGTACGTCATATGCAACAAGTTTTTAGAAAAACAAACTAAGCATAGAAGATCCAGAAAGTTATTTTGTCATCCAAATCAATTAAAGGACCATTTGCTACTATGAAGATTTATATCGGTCAAGGTTATTCTCAAGTAGAAAAATTCAATATTATTTCTTTTAATTTTAGTTTTATTATTCAAAAGAATATAGATAATTCTTTTATTGATGAAGGATGAACGAATTTTCTATTAATTATGATAGTAAGTTCTAGGTCTGGTCTAATTAAGTATTTGTAATACTTGATTTTATTATTAATGAATTATATTTCTAAAAAAAAAAAATTAAAAATTTGAAAAGCTGATTTGGCATATTTAACGTTCTATTTATTTATTGTTGATAAATTTACGTTTTTCTTTTACTTTTTTTTTTTTTTTTTTTGAGCACTTATAAGTACTTTTCCTTTTTTTTTTTTTTTTTTGTAATTGAGCACTTATAAGTACTTTTCAATTTAAAAATTAATAATTTATTATATTATTTATATTAAATTATTTAAAAAGACAAAACGTTATTTATATATAATTATCTATATAAAAGAAATTGCCATATTTATTTCTAAATCATTATTTTTATCTCGTCTATATACCATTTTTTTATCAAGAGGGCCACATGTCCGTTATACAATTTTTTCTTTTTATACAATTTTACTCGTGCCATGTTAGCCCTATAAGGGTGAATGGCTTTCAAGGGAGATTCCACACAAGGATCGGATAATCATCTCTTGTTTAAAAGACCTAAATCATTTTTACTCAAATCAAACCCCATTGGTAGTAATTTAGCTTCTTTGTTGTTTGCTATATTAATTTATCTGCTTTGTTATTTACAAGATTATTATTGTATTTTCCCCTTTTTTTTTTACCGAAAAGATGGATCATATATTATTAATATCATTTAAAAGAATATAGATAATTTTTTTATTATTGAAGGATCAATGAACTTTCTATTAATTATGATAATAAGTTCTATGTCTAGTCTAACTGAATATTACTGATTTTTCAACCAGCTTAATGCTTCCCCCACTCTTAAAGCCTCTGCCATCGCTGCATGTTGCACCTGCCTAAGAGATTTCAGCTTGTCGCCAACACATCTTCCATTGGTATCAGGTACGATCCAACCAACCCTAGCCCTACCAGTTGTAACATCAAACTGATGTCAAAATTACACTTATATCCATTAGCTGGAGGTTTCCATCTCGGGTTTCCACTCGCAGTAGCCGACTTATCAGAAGTACGCAGTACTAGTAAAACAATTGCTTCTCTCCATGCATGGAGATGCTGCTTCTCATGTCTCACGAGGAAACTTGGCTCTGATTGCTGCTGGTGCCATATTAGTTTGTTGCGAGCATTCCACATCTCCCACACTACAACACACGCTTTACCCAACTGCAAGTGATCAAATCCGTTACTTAATACTTCAAACCACCCCTCCAAACTACTCACAGATCCTCACCACCTTACATTTGACTCCATCCAACTAGTTCTTGTAAAGTCACATGTCACAATAAAATGGAGCACAGTTCTACACCTTGGTTACATCCGGGACAGAGGAGTGGAGCATCATATGGCGTGTTCTTAGCATAAAAAATACTGGCAGAATATTCAATAAGACTTGCCATATGAAAATTTTCACTTTCGGAGGGATACTCAACCCCTAAACCTTACGCCAAATAGTAGCTACCCTTGGGATCAAATTGGCTCTGTCATAAAGTAACTTATACCCGCTTCTAATAGTGTATAGGCCTTTGCACTACAAAATAAACGCCAAATTGCGACCGATTTTATTCGGTCGCATTTTTGCGATCGATTTGCGACCTGTAGACAAATAGTCGCAGATTTTAGCGCCGAAAATTCCCGCGAGTTTGGTTTTCAGTTTGCGACCCTTGTACTACGGATTTGCGACCGATTTGCGACTAAATATATTTCCGTCCCAAAATTGCGCACTTCAAAATTAGAAATAAGTTCTGAGACCGATTGGCGACATAATTGCGACCGAAATTTCGAGTCGCAAATCGGTCGCAATTTTGTCGCGAAGTAAAACGATGTCGCAGAATTAAAATTTGCGACCGATTAGTCGGTCGCAAAATTTAGGGCTTTAAACGCCAGACGCCCTCCTTCTTCTTTCTTCTTATTTTAGGGCTTTTAAACGCCAGACGCCCTCCTATCTTCTTTCTTTCTTCTTTCTTTTCTTCTCCTTCTCCTCTCCTCTTCCTCCATCCACCGAGCGCCGCTCCAGCCCCTCCTGACACCGCTCCAGCCCGCCTGACGCGCCACCGCCGCTTCCATTGCAGATCTCGGTTCACTCCTAACGCCCGGTTCAGCCACCGTTTGAGTAATTAGTTTTGCAATATTTTTTTCGAATTTTTTTTTCTTTTTGCGATTATGTGTTTTTTGCAATTGTTATTATTATATTATTATTATTATTATTATTATTAGTTTAATATTTGTTAATGTTGTTGTTATATTATTGTTATTATTATTATTATTATTATTGTGTTAAAAATTGTTACTGTTATAGTATTATTATTATTATTATATATTATTTTATTATTATTATTATTATTGTTAATGATATAATAATATTATTATTAATATTGTTATTGTTATTTATTTGAAAAATAATATATATAGTATATATGTAGTTTTGTATTAATTATTATTATTATTATTATTATTATTGTTATTAAATTGTTACTTCTTATTATTATTATTATTATTATTATTGTTATTAAATGTTTACTGTTATTATTATATTATTATTATTATAAATATTGTTGCTTGTTTATTATTTGAAAATAATATGTGTTATTGTTATTGTTGTGTTATTACTATTATTATTATATATTTTTATTTAAAATTGTTACTGTTTTATTATTATTTATTATTATTATTTTATTATTATATTTATTAATTATTATTCATTATTATTATTTTTTTATCCTTTTTTTAATACTGTCTTTGTTCCATAATACTTGTCAGATTTGAGAAAATAGTTTGTTCTAAAATATTTGTCTAATTTGGTCTAAAATATTTGTTATATTTGCTGTTTTATGGAAAAAAATCAACTTTTCGGATGGAAGGACCTTTTAATTAGACGGAGTTAAACCTGAGAGAC